TGGGAGGCACCTCTCTGTCACCGGGGGACGCGGCAGGGACAGGGACAGGGACGGTGACAGGGACAGTGACAGGGACGGTGACAGTGACAGGGACGGTGACAGTGACAGGGACGGTGACAGCTCCGGCAGGTGCGGGCCCGGGCCGCCCGTCAGCCTCGGGCCGCTGGCAGCAAAGCGCGCTTGAGAGAACTGCCAGCCCTGCCGGGCCCCCGCAGCCCCGAGCGCCCCAGGGACAAGGTGCAAATGGAAAATGGTGCATGCAAGTTCAAAAGCTGAAACTTCAACGGGAATAAAAGTACTTCTGCAGTCTCCAGAACCTCATTTTCAGGCTAATTCTTTATTACAGCTATGTACCTGTTTGGCAGGTGCATCGCAGGATTTCTGTACAGAACTACCTCCACCCGGCCCTTTTAGCCCCCCTGAAGAAGCCTTGTGTTACAGCCCTGGCCCGTTTCTGAGCACTGGCTTGCCATGCATCATGGTGTGTTCTCACTTTTGCTCCTCATCACGCCAAGACAATTACTCTGCATTAAATACAGAGCAACGTTATTAGCCCCACTCTTTTACTGTCAATGCATTTTGTCACTTGGACAATAAGTCTATCTTCAGGGTGTATTACTATATTGAAAAGAGATAAAGGGTTTGGTTCTTGACTCTTTTTTCTTGTCCTCAGATAAAAACATGGTTTCAGAATCGTCGTATGAAGTTCAAACGCCAGACTCAAGATGCCAGGATCGAAACTCTTTTCTCGGGCTTGTTTCTGCCCTATCGTTACTCAGACACGGCCACATCCAGCTATCCTCATGGGGTGGATGTCAATGTCTCTGCTACCGCTGCTCTTTCCCTTCACCCAGCTGTGCCAAACCCTGCCTTGTTACCTTCTGTTCCAGCTCAGTCTCTTCAGCCAGTTTTGCCAAGTCCAGCTTTACTATTGCCTCCCGGGCCAGGATTATCTTGTTACTCTTCTGTGCTTCCAGCAGTGACTCTAACCACTGAATTCATAAAAGACTGAGGTTCCAACAAGATCTTCCTTCGTGTTAAAAATCAAAACGATTATGTGTAATCCTAAAAAAAAGTACCAAACTTTTTAAGACTAACTATTTAACTTATTTTGTTATATTAAATATTCTTGGGATTATTTTCTTTAACATAAAAAAGTTTGATTAGAGGAGAAAATAATTTACCCATATTTGAGAAGTTATACTGAGAGTGGAAGTGAAGGACATGAAACCTCTCTTTAGTCTGACAGTCTTTACCGTGTTGTGTGGAAATTTCTATATAAATTTTCTTATCTAAAAGTTTTCAGAAAATAACCTCTAATCGTGTGGAGATCTCCACTAAAGAAGTAGAGTACTGTTTACACTGAAATTTGTGTAGTAACTATGTTACTTTATAGGTAATGCTGTCAAAAACTTTGTCCATTCTACCTGAGTGGGGGGTTTTAAGGAAGGATTTGTAAGCTACAGCCAAGCGCATTTAAATCAAAATGTTATTAAAGGTAAAAACGCTATAAACAAAACTGAGCATGATGCCCAGTATTCCCTTTTGTGTATCCTCTGTACCATTATTCAAATGATCTCACCTGTTTTTTGATGGACATGTTGCATTTATGCACTAAAAGATAGATAAAGCTAAGGAATTAACTGGCAAGCATATACGTTCATGCCAATGTCCAGCATATTTTAATTTAAATTTAAATCTGCTCATGAAAATGAATTTTTCACCAACTCAAGTCTCATGGGACATTCAAAAAGAAAATATTCTGCTTTTTACTTCCAAAAGTTGCAGCTGTAACTTGATAGCCTCCCTAATTTTTAAACTGCAGAATTAGTATGGGCTTGATCTTAGGAACACTTAGGGCTGTTCCTAAGAGTCACAAAGCCAGTTGTATGGGAAGTGGGAAAGCCAAGCCTTTAGACAATGGGAAACCAGAAGACCTTCCATCAGGATGAAGCAGCTGCACCAGGTGTGATTACATCTCCTTCCCCAATCCAGACCAATCTAATTTGCTTGCTAGGTGATGGTTAGGCTACTCTGCAGTTGTAAAGAGAGTGAAAATTCACACAAAACAAAATAAAAAACCACCACCACCACCAAGAAAAAAACCCAAGCCCTCCCTTCCTCTGCTCACAAGGCAAGAAAAGGGGCCTGCTATAGCTTTGTGCCATGGATTTTGTTCCTTTTCCCCTCTTCTCCCTCCATGTCCGGGTACCCTCCCCCCAGCTCCCCCCTCCGTCCCGTTTGGTAGAAACAGGGAGGAGGGGAAGTTGGGACACACCCGCAGGAATTTCCCGCAGCACACCCCTTCTCTGTGCTCCACCAGAGCAGCATTGATCCCTGACACTGCCAGGCAGCCGCAGCCACATCCTGTGCTTTTCTAGGTCACTTTGAGCACACTCTAAATTCCCTTTACACCTTCCTGGTATTTTTTTATAAGTGAGGAGCCCTTAGGCTATTACATCGAAACTATTGATGACTCACTGAATTAGAGGGTGGAGGGTGGAAATTCAGACTACAATGCAATAATCAGATAATGTATTTAGAAGGCCTTAAAGGTGAATTAACGAAACCATTAAAATCTAGACTAACAAATAAGCATTAACTAAGTGCATTTAGGAGTGAACGCCAATCCCAGGAGGAATTAAAAAAACCTAACACTGTTCAGGATTACTAAAACAAAACTTTACATGTTTAAAGGGAATAGATCAAAGTACGCAATTATAATTGTTTTAGTGGCCTAGTGGAGAAAGAAAAGCCAAATTTTCAGATTACAGTACCAGAAACAATTATGCCAAAAAATTTTTTGCCTAGCATTTGTTTTGGTAATTGTAAAATTTTCAACTTCCATAATGAAGGTCTGATCCGTTAATTTCTGTTTAAATGCATGCTGACTTAATAAATATTATCTCTACAGCTTTCACATGGAAGATGAGATTTATTGATTTATATCCAGAAGAGAAACTCACTGACAGCTTATCTTTCCTCTGGAGGATGTACTTAGCTCAAAGCACAGCACAGGGCAACCGAATGCAGCCACCTCTGTCCAGGCTACCAAACGCTCAACAACAGACAGACAATCTCGGTGGTAGGGTAGGAAAGTCAGACAAAATGTATCTGCCTATTAAATACACTACGGGGGGACAGGTGACCACAGAAGTTTGCATTGCATAAGTGCAGCCTTTTATAGAGTTGACACATATAACTCTGTTGATATTTTATATATATATATGTATACACGTTTATGAAAAAACTGGGGGGAGGCAGTGAAAACCATTAACATAACACATTTTAAGACTAGATTTATTAATATTTTAATATTAATTATCAAATATAATGGCCACATTTAACTTTAAATAATAAAGATATTCTTCCAAATCGGTCAACAGATTCTGAGCATGAATTGCATTAGAGCATAAAACACGGTTTTTTTCACTATAATGCATATACAGGGTGGCATTGCCTGTCCATTTTGTTCTGCATAACTGGATGGAAAGAAGGATGAGGAAGAAGGTGTTGATGGTAGTAGGGCAGTTCATTTGCCATAAAGTGGTAGGTGCTTTGTGGTGCGTCATATCTGGGAAAGGAGAAGCTGAACTGCACAGCAGGCATCGGGGTAAAAGGCAGGAGTCTCTGGTGCTGGGCAGCAAAGGGGTAGTGGAGCCCATCCTGAAACAGAGCTGGTGAGGTCCCCGCGCCGTAGCTGAGGACTGGAACAGGGGACACGAGGCTGTGCTGGTGGTCCTGTATCTGTCTCTTCAGTTTCATCCTCCGGTTCTGAAACCAGGTCTTAATCTAAGCAACAAAAGAAGAAGCGGGGAATGAAGGAGACAAATCAGAGACTTTGCCTAAAGATAAAGTGCAAACTGTGAACAGCCGTATCTCAGCTGCTTTGGCCATTTCGCTTCAGATGGAATTGGCACAGCTGGACTGGTGCTTTTGCCCTACTTAGCAGAAGGCAGAGGACCTGAGGGATGTAGAGGGAATAGTAGGTGTGTTCGGGGATTTTACAATAATCAGAGTCTTTAAGAGCAGATATGAGCTCTGCAAGGTCTACACCCAGATCACCCTATATGCAGGGTAGTTTACCTCACTAAGAAATAAAAAACCCTTGATAGCTTCCCGATAGAAAGTGCCGCAAATTTCCCTGAGTGGTAACTCATTAATCCCCGAGGGATCCCACATCCCCTACGAGACTAAAGAGTCTGTTCACCGTAGGAAAGACAGGTGCGGAACCTCCGACCCTGGCTGCTCCTGCCAAACGGGGCCGGGAAGGATCCGCTTCCCGAGGGACTAACCTGGATCTCCGAGAGCTGCAAGGCAGCCGCCAGCTTCCTCCTCTCCGTGGCGCCCAGGTACTTGTGGCGCTGGAAGGTTTTCTCCAGGCGGCAGACCTGCTCCGAGGTGAAGG